AACTTTTCTAATACTGGCTAATTATTATCAATTATATGTATATAATATGAATAATTTGAGAGCTCTACTGAACGATCTACTTAAAAAAGGAGTAAAGTGGAACTGGAATGATGACTGTCAAAAGGCGTTTGATGAAATAAAAAAAAGCTTACGTCAGATTTATCATCAGCACACTACGATCCAAAAGCAGAAAATGTTGTGGCGTCAGATGCTAGTAAGTACGGTACTAGGTGATTTTACACAAATATGATGATGGTAAAATGAAAACCTTCGCTTATGCTTAAAAATTTTATATGATGTTTTCGATGTTCCAACAGCACAACAGAATTAGATAGATAGATAGATAGATAGATAGATAGATAGATAGATAGATAGATAGATAGATAGATAGATAGATAGATAGATAGATAGATAGATAGATAGATAGATAGATGGACGGTGGTAGAGAAAAATGGTGTCATGCCAGCCACTGGTTGAACGGTGGTAGAAAAAGAAATGACGTAATGCCCGTCCACCGGTTTAACGGTGGTAGAGAAAAATGACTTAATGCCCAGCCACAGGTTAAACGATAGGTAAACACTTGTAACTATTTTTATATCTACTGCGAAACATGACATAGGTATTATTTGCGAATTTTGACCCAGGAGCTCAGGCATGAGAGTTAAAATTTGTTCAGGAATACAGGGCTCAAAGGGTTAAGGGTCAAAGCACAATGAAGGTAACCTGATCTTTGCAGAGCTTTCAATAATTTTGATCTTGTGCCAGACAAGCTGAATAGATTTATGATGGCTGCGTTTATCAGCCGGAAATGAATTCAAATTGTTATACACTGCCACTGATTGGTTATTAAATTAACCAATAACTCAAATATATTACCATTCGTAGTAGAAATAAATCTTTAGTTATTTTGTCTTCATTTCTTTCTTTTGTCGCTTTTTTGGTTCTGAATCTTTTAAAATCCCTGCCATCTATGGTTCTTTTCCATAGTTCTATACCAGAGAGATATGAACAGACGTGAAAAGGTAAATACCTTATCCGGATTTTATTACACAAATCAATGTCTGCAAAATAAAATTAATATTAAGCAATAAAATTTCCAGCATATATTTACATGCGTGTATTTCAGTATTTAATATCTGTTTTCAAAGAAATATTGATGATACGTTTCAGGTTTTATTACAAAATCAAATTAAGTACGACATCGCAAAAATATATATTTGATTAATACAACAAGCAATATAGAATAAGTAATATAATTTACATTAATAATAAAACATATCCTGTCGAGTACCTAGATGGACCCCCACTTGGGAATACAAATCGTGGCCTATGGATGTTCGATTGATGTGATGAATAATCTGTCTATATTTCTGAGATGACGTATTATGTACATTATTTACATTATTCGGACTATTGTTCTCATCTTTGTTGCCATATTTATCACAACGCTTCGGCCTTTCAGTATCTGTCTATATTTCTGAGATGAGGTATTATGTACATTATTTACATTATTCAGATTATTGTCCTCATCTTTGTCGCCATATTTATTACAATGTTTCGGCCTTTCAGTATCTGTATATATGTCTGAGATGAGGTATTATGTACACTATTTACATTATTCAGATCATTGTCCTCATCTTTGTCGCCATATTTATTACGTTTCGGCCCTTCGGTATCTTTCTATATTTCTGAGATGAAGCATTATATACACTATTTACATTATTCGGACTATTATCCTCATCTTTGTCACCATATTTATTACAACGTTCCGGCCGTTGTACGCTCCGGTTTTCTTCAGGTGGTTGGAATGTCGAATTGATCCCTTTATTTCATTCACTGGGGTAGACTCTTCTTGTTCCACGTGCCATGTTTAATGGATGTCAGTTATCAGTTACCTCCTGTTAATTTCTCAAGGGCACATTGCACAGTGTATAAAGACGTTAGTTAGATCCAGTAACGGGGCCCAAAGAGTTGTGAGTTCAATACCCGGTTAAGGCAGTGGAGAACTTGGAGAGGGGAATTAACAGTTTTTCCCATGATCAGTTGATTTTGTTTTTTATTCCCATTACACAATTATATAAGAAAATCTATTTTTACATGTTTTAAAAACGATGCTATATGTTATATATCTGAATTCAAAACAAATCTCAATATATATATATGTGTGTGTGTGTGTTAAAATATGTATGTAAATAAATATAAATATATATATATATATATAATTTTATATATATATTATTTATATATTATATATGCGTGGTACTTATTTGAACATACTGAGATAGATATGAACATATTGAGATAGATAGATAGATAGATAGATAGATAGATAGATAGATAGATAGATAGATAGATAGATATGGGCACATTTAGATAGATAGATAGATAGATAGATAGATAGATAGATAGATCTTTCTTTCAACCTTGCTGTTTTTACTTCCGCTTTTATACAATAAGTTGTTATTGTTAATGTCTGATTTAATTTCTCTAATTCATTCATTTCCCCTTCTCACTAAGTTGTCACCCCTTTTCCTTTCACTATTTATTCTTCTTCAATTTTTGCTTCTACACTTCTGTCGTACGGCTTAATTAATTTCCGTGTTTGTCGCGCAAACTGCAGCCATGTTGAAACTCTGTTGCTTGTTGACACAATCACTTTTGCCCGAAGGCCTCCACGATACACTGGACGCTGGCATCGTCGGAATTAATGGTCGAAAGTCCGGCCAAGAGTTGAAAAGTGCCGCCACCAACGCAGAACTTAAACTAGTTTGGATGTGGGACATTCACCAAATCCTAAGCTCTGACCTAACTCACACGTCTGCCGCTTAACCGATAAAATGTCACGTGCACTGCAGTTTGAAGAGAGAGACGTTGACAAGGCCAAAAGGAATTTGATCGCTTTTATTGACTCTGGAGTTGTCCTTAATGCAAGTGTCAGTCTGGCCTTTTCCTGTCTTTTGTCAGGCTTTCTTTTGCTTTGGAAAATAGTTATTTACAGCAGTGATTTTTTTTTAATTTTTGCTTCTTTTTTTTTTTTTTTGCTTCTTTTTTTTTTAATTTTTGCTTTTTTTTTAATTTTTGCTTTTTTTTAAATTTTTGCTTCTTTTTTTCCTTTTTTTTGATTTTTGCTTCTTTTTTTTCCTTTTTTTTATTTTTGCTTCTTTTTTTTCTTTTTTTTAATTTTTTCTTTTTTTTTAATTTTTGCTTTTTTTTTTCTTTTTTTTTTCACGCAACACCATAAAAATATGTCAGAAGATCAAAATAATGAGATTATCAAGTAGGGAAAGAAGTAGAAAATAAACGAAGAATGAGACCATCTCTCTCCCTCTCTCTCTCTCTCTCTCTCTCTCTCTATCTATCTATCTATCTATCTATCTATCTCCTTCTCTCTTTGTCTTGCTCTCCCCCTTCTCTCTCGCTCACTCGAATGCTCTCCGCCATGTCCTTTTAGGTGGCTAATAACACATCACAGCTTCCTTTTTCTTTTTCTTTTTTTTTTTTACAGTAAGACTTATCTTGTACAAGGTCAGGGAGATCACTCAAGGTAGAGGGATACATTGAGAGGCAGTCAATATTGATAGGAGGGGACGATAGCGGTTGACTCTAAACTTCAATAGGTTAAGATTGTAATGACCTTGAGGAAACATCCTCTTGGGAGACAGTTCCACAGGGCAGTGATTCCCGGGAATAAATGTATGTGGTTGTGAAAGTCAGACCTGGTGGAAACATGAGATGCAGTATGCCTGAACTCTTTCCGACAATGCGCCACTGACCCATAAATATAAATAGCCGTGGAAATATCCAGCATTCGTGGCCTGACGATTGCGTCCAGCATGAAACAGCCTGTCGCTTCTGAATGCTGACTTCAATGTTCACTTTTATATTTATATTTACACACGCTCTATCTCTAATATTAAGCACTTTATCCCATAAATATAGAAAACCTTAAAACTATATATATATATATATATATATATATATATATATATATATATACAGACGTCCGATCGCATCAAGCCAGGACCGAAACCCGCCCGATTTAGTCGGAGATTCTAACCGCTACGCTATCGGCGCCCGGCAGAGTGAATATTTAATTTTTGCGTATTTAGTTTTTTATAAACACGCCATATATATAGGATTTTGTTTATACGGAATAAATTCCAATAACCAACAAATATTATTCTTAAAAGAGTGCTCAATACAGAGTAGAGCAAATATAATTTATTCGAAAATTATAATATAAATATGTTCAACACCATCACTTGATAAGACCACCAGAAGTGTTGAAACAAAATGGCTATTTTTGTAGTGATTTTATAAGATATTTATGTTATAATTTTCGAATAAATAACTATATATATATATATATATATATATATATATATACGTGTGTGTGTGTGTGCGCGTGTGTGTGTGTGTGTGAGCGTGTGTGTGTGCGTGTTGGACTCTCCCGTCATTTTCGACGTATGAGGGTCAAGCAACTCAGTTCCTAGGAACCGACATCTAGCCGACCTGCACATACGATTTGATTATAATGGTGAAGGTTTTGTGTAGAACCAACCACACTTTTTGAAGGGCCGAATACAGAGACCTGGTGAACTACGTGCCACAAAGTCCCCAAACGACCCTCCGCAGGTTTTGAATTCAGAGTTGTCCTTCTCCTAGACCAGTTGCCATCCAAGGCTATAGAACCCAGTCTGTCCTGCTATTTACCCATAACCTTAATACTAATGTCTTTTCCCGCTATGCCTTAACATCAAACTCGCGGTTTAAAAGTGAAATCACAAATGCACACGTTGCAATCCCCTTTCAACTTTCAATTTTTTTTCCTTTCTTCGTCCTCAGTCAAGATCATAGTACGCAACCTCACCCTACGGTTTACTCTAAACAACATAATCTTTTCACTGGCTCTAAAAAATACACAGCGCCAAAGTTATACTTCTAGACTAGTGTTCAGCCACAGATAGAAAGTCTAGACTTTCTTGTTATTTAACCCATAGCTGGAGGGACAGAAAGAGAGAGATGAATCCATACATTTCCGAATGGTATTTATGCGAAAGTGAATGTAACAAACTCGACTTGGATTCGAACTCGGCTTTTCAATACCTCTTTCCGAGTCGCTAACCGACACACTACCTGTACATCCATTTCAACTTTCAATAGCCCCGTCTTGAGGTCTTTTCCGCGTCTCCCACAACCGATGTCAAAGTGTCGAAATAGTCGAGAAAAGTCGACTTCTTCTTTATTGGTTCTACCTTGGACTATCACCGTTGGTACAAGGAACCGGACCATAACAAAAACAAAACACTATGAAAGTATAGAAATACGTTTTATAGTAAAAATACTAGCAATACATTTTTATATTAAAAAATTAACAACAATAAATATTTATAGTAGACTTTCCGACAATGCATTTTTACAGTAGAATTACCAATAATACATTTTACAGTAGAATTAACAACAATATATTTTATATAGTAGAATTACCGACAATACATTTTCATAATAGATTTACCAACACTATATTTCATACTAGAATTATCAACAATAATTTTATAGTAAAATTACCAACTATATATTTTCATAGTAGAATTAACAACAATACAATTTATAGTAGAATTAGCAACAATTAATTTTGTAGCAAAGTGACTGACAACATATTTCATCAGTAGCTGAAGCCATAAAATTGTGTTCGAAATATTTAGATTTCAGCATTAAACAACGCATGGAGCTTGATATGCCGTTCAATGTCCAACAAAACATCTTATCTACAGTTGACGGCATAGAATTGTTAGATTTCTCCATTAACTAACCCTTTTGTTGGTAAAGGTTGATTTGGCACTAACAAAATCAACCAACCAATGTATTTTTATACTTTCATAGTGTTTTGTTTTTGCTTGGGGGGTCATTATTTGCCCATTGTTTGGACACTAACAGCTGTTACCACCCCAGGTCAGAGTGAACCTAGAAAACTCCATGGGTTATTTAACGTTGAAATCTCAATGTTTCGAACATTGTTTTTGTTGCAGAGTAATTAGCACCCCTTCAACACTCTACCAGACAACCTAGCTCATAGCCTTAAATAGTCTACAATTAAGGACTTCAAGGGTTGATTAATAAGTTGATACTAAGCTGATTAATATTCGGACTGATCTTACTTCGTTTGGTTAGCATCGGATACTGGTGTTGAATAAATATATTAAACCCTCATTCTTTTCAGTGCATCATTCACACCTCGACGATACAATATCTATATACACTCATAATATAGATCTCTTGACTCTTAAAATGACCACATTTGTATTGGGTGAACAGTTTATTGATCTCCTTAATACTTATTTCTCGATCTGTACGTTAAAATTTAAATGCATCAAATTTAATTTACATTATATTTGATAAGAGGTTTTCTTCTTGATGATCTTTTATAGAAAATGAAACCATTTAAATAACAATGGAAAATCATGCACGGTAAGATTTAAATTTAAGATGTAAATTTACATTATAAAATTACTGTGATTTGCTAATAATACCTAGCATAAAAATCAGCATTTATACATAATACATGGGATCGAATTACGATAACTACAGCCAGTCGCACATTTTCACCAATGCGACTAGATGATGCTGTAAAAAACATCTACATTATTTACATTATTCGGACTATTGTCCTCATCTTCGTCGCCATATTTATTACAACGTTTCGGCCGCTGTACGCTCCGGCCTTCTTCAGGTGGTTGGAATGTCGAACTGGACCCTTTATTTCGCTCCTTGGGGTAGACAGTTCTAGTTTCACATGCCATGCCTCTTCGTTCAAATTGACAAAATGATGCTGGCCTCACCGCTATTTTCATGGCAAATTTTCGGAACAAGACACCTTCTTTCTATAACACCTGACCTTTACATCAACGACCCATTCTGTTGCGTACAATGAATCGACTAACCGCGTTCCCTTCATATTCCATTGGTAAGGAGTAAGTTCCACTCAGACAACTTCATTACCAGAACTGCTACATTGTGGAACGGACTTCTCCGGTCACAAAAATCCTAAACATTTCAAGTCAATGGGCAAAAGAGTTAACTATCCTATTGTTGTAGAGTAACTAGCACTCTTTTAACACTCTACCAGATGGCCTTGCTCATAGCCTTAAATAGTCTACGATTAAGGACTTCAAGGGTTGATTAATAAGTTGATACTAAGCTTATTAATATTTGGATTGATCTTAATTCGTTTGGCTATACAGCATTTGACCCTCCTCTATTCCTTGTCTTTTTGTTTTGTAACTTATTCTTCTGTGTTTTTTGTATTTATCCGTTAGCACCGGATACTGGTGCTAAATAATTATATTAAGCACTCATGCTTCTCTCCGTTCTGGGTATGACGATAAACTACATCCGCGTCCAGGATATGGCGATAAACTACATCCGCGTCCTGGGTAAGACGATAAACTACATCTAACAGCAAGGCCTCTGATCAGGAGGTTTTGAGGGGCGTGGAACCAC